ACCAGGAGGCCACAAGCAGTGATTTTCTTATAGGAACACGTATATTTGTTCCATACCTGGCTTTTCGGCTTTCACGGCGTGGACGACGGCCCACGAGGCCCCCAAGACCGCACCAAGACGGCCCAAGAGGCTCCCAAGAGGCCCCCAAAACTGCCCCAGAGGGCGCCCAGACGGCCCCAGAGGCGCCGCAGACGGCCCAAGAGGGCCCCAAGACGGCCCGAAGAGGGGGACCACGACGCGAAACGTCTAGCCTTTCGCCCCAAGAAGCTCCCAAGAGGCCCCCACAGACCCCCAAGAAGCCACAAGAGGCTCCCAAGAGGCCCCCAAAGGGGCTCAAAAGGGCCAGCAATAGGACTCGCAAGGAGGCTCGGAGAAGCCAAATCAAGAGCGATCGGTACCGCAACATGCTCTTCACACCAAGGCTCCCGAGAGCGAACGGTGACGCAAACAAGCTGATAAGACCAAGGCTCCCAGCAGGGAGCGCTGACGTAACACGTTCCTGACACCAAGGCCCAGCCAAGGCTCAGGAACGGGCGGCAACGCAACAATCTCTGAACACCAAGGCTCCCAAGAGCGCGGGGTGACGTAACAAGCTCTCAACGCCAAGGTTCCCAGTACGGACGGTGGTGTGAGTAATTTCGGTCAAGTTGATGAAGCGCTCTTTCCGTTTCCGTGCTGGCCCAGGTAACGGAAAGAGCGAGGTACGAGTGATGACATTTTGGTGTGGGCGAAGCCCTAAAGGGAAGGGTTTCAGGGGAGGGGCGACGCGTGCGGACCTGCGTGTTAATTGCCGTTTTCGGGTTTTCCCTAAGGTTTTTTGCATGTTTCTCGGGTTCCCCCCAAGACGGCCCAAGAGCGCTCCAAGAGAGCCCAAGACCGCCCAAGACGGCCCAAGAGGCCCCCAAGAGGCCCCCAAGAGGCGCCCCCAAGACCGCCCCAAGACGGCCCAAGAGGCTCCCAAGAGGCCCCCAAAACAGCCCAAGAGGGCCCCAAGACGGCCCAAGAGGCGCCGCAGACGGCCCAAGAGGGCGCCAAGACGGCCCCAGAAGGGGGACCACGAACCCGAAAGTCTAGCCTTTCGCCCCAAGACGCTCCCAGGAGGCCCCGAAAAGACCCCCACGAAGCCCCAAGAGGCTCCCAAGAGGACCCCAAAGGGGCTCAAAAAGGCCCGCAATAGGACCCCCAAGGAGGCTCAGAGAAGCCAAATCAAGAGCGATCGGTACCGCAAAATGCTCTTCACACCAAGGCTCCCAAGAGCGAACGGTGACGTAAACAAGCTCATGAGACCAAGGCTCCCAGCAGGGAGCGATGACGACACAAGTTCCTGACACCAAGGCCCAGCCAAGGCTCAGGAACGGGCGGCAACGCAACACTCTCTGAACACCAAGGCTCCCAAGAGCGCGGGGTGACGTACGGACGGTGGTGTGAGTAATTTCGGTCAAATTGTTGAAGCGCTCTTTCCGTTTCCGTGCCGGCCCAGGTTGAATGACCCTTTTGGGCCGTTTCTTGTTGTTTTTTGTATGTTTTTCGGGTTCCCCCCCAAGACGGCCCAAGAGCGCTCCAAGAGGCCCCCAAGAGGCCCCCCAAGAAGCGCCCAAGGGGCATCCCAAGAGGTCCCCAAGGGGCCAACATCGTCGATTTTCCAAAAGAAAAACGTTTATTTTTAGCATCTACGACTTTTCGGCTTTCACGGCGTTGACGACGGCCAGAGAGGCCCCCAAGACCGCCCCAAAACGGCCCAAGAGGCTCCCAAGAGACCCCCCAAACGGCCCAAGAGGGCCCCAAGACGGCCCAAGATGCGCCCAAGACGGCCCAAGAGGGCCCCAAGACGGCCCCGAGGGGGGGACCACGAACCGCAAAGTCTAGCCGATCGGCCCAAGACGCTCCCCGGAGGTCCCCACAGCCCCCCAAGAAACCCCAAAAGGCCCCCAAGAGGCGGCCCAAGAGGCCACCAGGAAGCCAAAATAATTGATTTTCTATGGGAAAAAATGAAGTTTTATCATACACGGCTTTTCGGCTTTCACGGCGTTGACGACGGTCCAAGAGTCCCCAAGACCGCCCCAAGACGGCCCAAGAGGCTCCCAAGAGACCCCCCAAACTGCCCAAGAGGCGCCGCAGACGGCCCAAGAGGGCCCCAAGACGGCCCGAAGAGGGGGACCACGACGCGAAACGTCTAGCCTTTCGCCCCAAGAAGCTCCCAGGAGACCCCAAGAGCCCCCCAAGAAGTCCCAAGAGGCTCCCAAGAGGCCCCCAAAGGGGCTCAAAAAGGCCCGCAATAGGACTCCCAAGGAGGCTCAGAGAAGCCAAATCAAGAGCGATCGGTACCGCAAAATGCTCTTCACACCAAGGCTCCCAAGAGCGAACGGTGACGTAAACAAGCTCATGAGACCAAGGCTCCCAGCAGGGAGCGATGACGACACAAGTTCCTGACACCAAGGCCCAGCCAAGGCTCAGGAACGGGCGGCAACGCAACAATCTCTGAACACCAAGGCTCCCAAGAGCGCGGGGTGACGTAGCAAGCTCTCAACGCCAAGGCTCCCAGTACGGACGGTGGTGTGAGTAATTTCGGTCAAGTTGTTGAAGCGCTTTTTCGTTTCTGTGCCGGGCCCAGGTCTAGTGGCCTTCGGCCCATCCCGCCACCGTGCGTGGGTTGTGGGTTAGAGTTGGGGCCATCCGTCCTGGTTTGGGCCGTCTTGGGACGATCTTGGGGGCATCTGGAGCTGCCTAGGAGCGTCGGGAAGCCGAAACGGCGAAAACAGCGAGAACGCCAAACACCTCCAAACACCTAAGGGAGATCATTGTTTCGGGCCTCTTGGGGCCCTCTTGGGAGGCCTCTTGGAGGCTTCTCGGGGCCTCTTGGGCTGTCTGAGGGCCATCTTGAGCACCTTGAAGCGATCATTCAGCGACTCGGGGCCTTCTTGGACCAGTTTGGGGGTCTCTTGAGGCCCTCTTGGCCGGGGCCCTCTTGGCTCCGAAGAATGCACGCGAGAGCTACGACCAGACGCGGCAAGCCGTTGGAGATTTGGCAATTTGGGCTCCAGGCCCTTGTAAGACTCCTCAGGAATGAGGATTGAGGCTTAGACGATTGGGCAGAGAACCTGAGGGCACCCCCACTCGGTGCCCAGCGGCACGGTGTCGGATCGTGCGAGGGGGAAAAAGAGTAGGATCGTGGATGCGGCGCAGACAGTGGTAATGAGAAGGAGCAGGAGGAGCGAAGAGAAGAGAAGAGAAGAGAAGAGACAAGAAGAGAAGAGAAGGGAAGAGAAGAGTGCTGATGAGGAGGAGTAGGTGGGGCAGAGTGCCAGTAGCCTCCGCTCTGCACTGGACATACGTGGCATGCGACAGGGGATTTCTTGCGCGAGCCGTGGACCTGGCATCTTAGATGGCTTGGGCTGGCACTGCGCTTACGGCGCGCACTTGGTGAGCCACGTCGACATACTTCTGCTTCCGTGCCTACGGCAAGTTGTGTCGTGTTGACGCGGCGGCGACCTCGGCGCGGGCGTTCAAAGTTGAACGTCGCCAGCCCGGAATTGGCCGGTGTTCAACGATCTGATTATCATACGCACGCGATCGTTCAAATTCGAACGATTTTTGCGGTGTCAGAAAACAACGTTGAAGTCGCCACGACACGAGCTTGCCATGCCGGCCTGTTCGCAGAGGCAGGGCTCTTGTGCCAGAGTCCACAGGGCGCCCCTGCTTGGCCGGGCACGCGTGCGGCGCCCTCGTGCGCTTTCTGGGATTTTGATCTTCCCGCGTGGCTCTACAGGGAACCTGTCCGTCTTGCTCGCGTCCTGGCTCGATCTGATCAGCCGCTGACTGGACTCTTCCGCGCGTCGGAGGAGTGGTGTGCACGATTCGCAGGGCAGTCTGGTCCCGCTCGGCAAGGCGGCCATGGCTGGAATGGCGTCTGCACCAGTCTGGTGGCCGAAGGGGAGCAAGGGGCGGATTCGATTGTGCGGGTCGTGGGCGAAGACTGGTGTCGACAACGAGACGACCCGACCATGAACGTTCAGAGTGAGCCTTACGCTCAAAGGCGATCGTGGCAGATGCTTGCGCCCGCTGGCACTGAGCGCTGTGCGACGGGCCTGGCGTCGCCGATCCTGTCACAGAATTCAACTGGACGGAACAGGACGGGGAGAAGCAGTTCGTATTCGCGCGTGGGGAGCCATTATCAGATGAATTGCGCGATGCACTGGGGCTTCGCGATGATTGGATAGCACCACGGACACACGGTATATCATGGCAAAGAGTGATGCGTGGCGTCGGTAACCCGCATGACTTTGCGTTTGAGCCTCTCATGTTTTGATTGTTCAGCAGGGTGGAAGTTCACATGGCCCATGGGGCCCATGGTTCGAGGCCGCTGCATGCACACAAACTGGTTGACTAGATGTTATCACAGAGTGGCGGACGTCCTGGCCAACTATGCCATGGAAGCGCGGGTAGATTGTCTATCTGAAGCGCCAGCGTGATAATTCAAACTGATGGTCTGCAGCTGCAGCGTGGAGTTCGTCGGACTTCGTGACCATTTCGACGGGCAGTGCATTTTCGAACCGCCGATGGTTCACGGTGTTTTCTTCGACTGACCGTTGCTTTCAAAAAAAGTCCTACGGAAACTATTTCCATGGATGAGGCTTCTAGAACGGCCCAATATATTCTCGCCCGCTATCTCACGAAACATGGATATGTATACACATCTATCCGTCCACACACACATATATATATACACATGTATCGATAGAAGTGCCCCAAATTTGCACGCGATGCAAGAGATGACATGTGACATGAGGTATTGGTGACTGGACCCCAGGGGCAGGAGGAGGAGGAGGAGGAGGGGGAGGAGGAGGAAGAAAGTAGGGGGGGGAGCCCCTCTCATCTCCCCTCCAGCTTCCAGCTTCTTCTCCTCTCTTCCCCTGCCTCTCCCGTTTCACCCCCTCCGATCCTTGCTCCCGCTTGCCCCCCTTCGCCGCTCCTCCCCCCCGCGCCCTCGCAGCGCTCCCCAGGCCGAGAGCGCCAAGCACTGGAGGGTCGTTGAACTGCACGTCTCCGGCCTCCCCGGTGCCACAGGCGAGCCCTGGCCGATCGATCGGGCCAATGTCGGACGGGGTTGCGACGAGGAGAAATCCGCTCCAGAGCTCCGAAACGCTGTGACAGCGTTCCTGAACGCTCTGGGAAGGCCACGACGCCTGATACATCCTCCCGAGCCGCCAGATCTCAGAGACTCCAATTATCCTCGCACGAATGAGTCCTCGTCCTGGCTTCGTCGTACAATGCGGCATTCAGACGCCGCAGCGCCGCTTGGGGCAGCATTCTGCCACGGGTGTGGGGCAAAATGTAAAGTGTCAGCCAGCGTGGACTCAACAGGCCATGTCTCTAGCACGATAGGTTGTGCAATCTTCCTGGTGGAACATGCGTGGTGCAACATGTGTGGTGCAAGTCGCTTATGGAATTTGCAGTTGTCAATTCCAGTGTTCGCGCAATCGTCCCACCCACCCTCCCGCAACTTGCTTTGCAAAACACATGCGGCGGCGATTGTGGTGTTGGCTGGTGCATTTCCGCGGCCGCGCTAGCCCGCGCATGCTCGCGCGCGCAGCGGCCAAATGGTGCGGCGCGACCAACGCGGCCGCGGTGGCGCTGACCGCTGGGCGTTCCAGCGGGCACTTCAGTGCAAGTTGGCCTCTTGGGCGGGCGCGGTGTCATGGCAACGCCGACAATGGTAGTCAAGATGCTGATAGTAGCGACGCTGTTGAAAATTATGAAAACGGCGACGGCACGGCCAGCGACGGCACCGATGCTGATCACGCCGGCGACGATGACGGTGTCTTCGCATCGGTGATAAAAAAGGTTTTATAATGAGTTCGGCATGCGTGCGCGGCCGACGCGCGAGAGTGGTTCGCATGGTATTTTGCGACGCGGATCGTGCCCCCCGAGCACGCGCGCAAGGGCGTTGGAATGACGCCGGCATGCGGCGCACAAGGTTTATTTGGTATGATTTGATGAAGTTGTTTGGCAACCAAATATGTGTCTTCAGAAGGCTTTCCAGGGATGTCGGCGCGCGCGTGCTTTTCGCCCCGTTTTCGCATGCAATGGTATTTGCGACAGCGCGCGCGCAAAGGCGTTCAAACGATTTTGACGCGCGCGTGCGCGGGAGGCCGATTTGGAAGCATTGCGTGACAGTGTTGATAAACCTATTGTTTGCTTAAGAATTCGCAAGAGCGCGGGCTCAAATTTGTTGGTTGGACATTCTTGCTGTCTTTTTGAAGGTTCCGTTGAGGCTCGATGTGGGATTCCTTTCGAAATCTGAGGCTAATGAAAGATGCCGGCCTGCGCGCTCAACGGTGTGCGCGTGTTCATTTTGACATTCTTTCTGCAGGGAATTCCTGGCATGTTTTGTTTCGTAATGAGCGAGAGCGCGCGCAATTCTGTCTTGTTGCAGGGGATGACGGGGGGGGCGATGCCGGCCTGGTTGGGGTCGAATGGGTTCTTATGTGGGATGGGCGAGGGGTCAGGATCATAAGTGGATTCACTGCGCCCTCGCGTCGGCGGTGAAGGTTTGGGGCGAGTCCGATATGCGTGCGCGATCGACGCGCGAGAGTGGCCCGCGTGGCATTCTGCGATGCGGATCGCGCCCGCCCCGGCACGCGCGCGAGGGCGTTCGGGCGATGTCGACGCGCGGCGCGAATAGGCCCGCCCGTCTGGCCGGACTGGATGCGAATTGTTAAGGATTCGCAGAGTATTTCGTGCTGATGCCCGTGCGAAACTTGAAGCTTTTGAAGGATTTTAGCATGCGCGCGCGACGGCGCGCGCGCGCACTTCGCCCGGTTCTGAGCAAAGGAGTCCTGCGGCCGCACGCGCGCCCAGGCGTTCGAGAGATTTCAACGCGTGCTCGCGGGGGTCTTGTTTGGTCGCGCGTCATGAACACGTTGACAGCCACCTGCGGTTATATTGAGAATTCGCAAGGGCGCGAGCGCATCTTGTCCCGATAATCCTCGCGACGAAAGCACGCTTGTTTTCTGAGTTGTCGGGGCGCTCGATTCTCGCGCCTTCGCGAACGCGCATGTGTTTTCATCGTTTTCCCGTTCGCGCGTGCACTTCGTCACTTTTTCTCGCAGGGGGCTGTCAACAAACTCTGATTCGTGATGGGCGAGTCCGCGCCCGTAAATTGCAGCGGAGGATGGGGGGGGGGGCGTTGCCGGCCTGCCGGGGGCGGCGCGAATCTTCATTTAAGACGGGCGACGGGGCAGACTCGCACGCGCATTGCAACGCGACAGGGGCGGCGCCTCAGTTCGGGGGGGGATCCCAGGTCGTAGTATTATTCTAGATCAGAGAATCTATGGCGCGCAGTATTTCGCCGGCGACTCGACGCTTTCCACGCCTTTGCAGGCGCCCCGCCCGCCCATCCGCAATTTGGTTTGCAAGACCCATGTGGCGGCGATTGCGATGAGCGCTCGGCGTTTGCTGGTGCGTTTCTGCGACCGCGCTAGCCCGCGCGCGCGCGAGCGCGCAGCGGCCAGCTAGTTTTGCGCGACCGACTCGGCCGCGACGGCGCAGACCGCTGGGCGCCCCCCCAGCGGGCACATCAGTGCGAGTCGGCGACTTGGGCGGGCGCGGCATCATGGCGTCGCTGACGACGGCGGGCGCGCTTCAGAAAGCAGCGATGGTGACGATGGCGGCGGTGGCGACGGCAAGGCCAACGACGGCGCCGACGTTCATCACGCCCGCCCATGACAATGGCGATGTCCTCGCGTCGGCAATGAAGGTTTTTTGGTGGGGTCCGACGCGCGCGCTCGGTCGGCGCGCGCGCGATTGGCCCGGGCGGCATTGCTTGGCGCGGATCGCCCCCCCCCCCCCCCATCTTGGCGTTCGACGTGCGGCGCGAGAGCCCCGTTTGGCAGGACTGGATGAACGCGTACGAAAACCACTGCTTCGTTCGAGAATCCGCATGCGCAAGAGCGCATGATTCGACGCGCGCGCGAGAGAGGTCAGCGTGGAAGCACTGCGTGATACCGCTGAACCAAAAAACTTGGTTTCATTGAGAGCTCGCAAGATCAGGGCGCAATGGTTTTTAAACACTATTGTTGCAAAGCCGCGGTTTCCGGTGTTCGTGACATTCGATGTTGGGACCTTTGCGCGACCTGAGGTTGGTGGGATTTCGGCTCCCGCGCTCGACGGCGCGCGCGTTCTTTGTTTTCCCCCCCCGTTTCCTCTTCCCCCCGTTGTTGCTTAAACGCGCGAGGGCGCGCCTTTTTGGTTGCGGGGGGCGGCGGGGGCGGGGGTCGACGCCGGCCTGTCTGGGGCGGGATGCATCCGCGTGCGGGGCGGAAGCGGGGCCCGGATCGCACGCGAATTCAACCGAAGCCAACGGCGGATAAGTTCGGTCCGGAAGGGGGGGGATTCAGATTTTGAAACGAGAAAGGACAATGCATTTTCCAAAATTTGACCCCGCCCGGGCTTGCGCGAGGTCGCGGGCCAGGCGCCCTCCAGCCTACAATTGTTTCACGCCCTTGTCACCCGCATAGACCCGCGACTATCCACGACTGCAGGAGAAGCGAAGCCGCGACGATTCGCCGCGCGCATGTAGTTTTCCGCGTAGACGCGTCGCATCGCGAGTCCTCTGCCGATTGCGTTTGAGACGGCGCGGACGCGCTCGCGCTTGCGCCGGAAATTTGCGGGCGACCACCTTGTCGCCAGGTGCAGGCTGCGCGATGCGCATCTTTTGGTCGCCCCGGGCGCGCTTCGCTGCAATAATGTCGCCAACCACGGCGTTCGAGCTTCGTCGAACGAGTTACGCGGTGTCTGCTTTAAACCGCCAGCGAGGGTCGACTGAGATTCGCGGCGCGGGGCGGGGCCCCCGCGTCCTCCTCGCGCGCGCGGGCGCTCGTGCTTCCGAGAGCGCGGGAGTGGCGCTCGTGGCCGCTTGCGCGTCGCATTTTTAGGGGCGCGCGTCGCGCTTTCATAGGTCGCCCCAACTACGGAACCGTTGGGCGCGTGCGCGCTTGGCGGGGCCGTCGCGGGATTGCCGCCCTGGGGGGGGGGGGCGACTTGGGGGCGCCGTCTTGGCGGCGCCGCCTCGGGGTTGCCGTCGCGGGCGCCGTCTTGATGGGGTGGGCAGGCGAGGCCCCGGCGCGCTCGGGGAGCAATCCGGCCCGGTGGACACAGGGCTGGCATGGCCAGGGGGCCGAGGCGCTTGGCGAGCGCCAGGCTCGCGCGGCCTGCGGGCCAGCAGGCCCTGGAGGTCTCATCCAGCCTATTTTTAGTACGGCTGCTTAATTTAGTCCTGCAGCCTTAAAATTTTCGTGCGCCCTTAGAATAGTCATGCACCCTTAATATAGTCTGGCACTTTTTAAATAGTGCTGCGCCCTTTAAATAGTGCTGCACCCTTAAATTAGTGCTGCACCCTTAAAATAGTGCTGCACCCTTAAAATAGTGCTGCACCCTTAAAATAGTGCTGCACCCTTAAACTAGTGCTGCACCCTTAAAATAGTCTTGCACCCTTAAAATAGTCCTGCACCCTTATAAAGTAGTCATGCACCTTTCAAATAATATGGCACCCATCAAACAATGCGGCACGGCTTTGCAAGATTACGCTCGCACTCCAAATTCCCATACGGGGCAGGCCATATTATATGTACCTCCAACACAAGTGGGAACGGACGGCGCGGAAACACTGAAATACAAACCACAGATCACAGATGAGAGAAGGGATCTGTCAGGGGCCGTGCCAGTATGTATGTCTGTATATATTTACATAACCGATGTATATGATGTGTGTGTATATCCGAAGGTGCAATACGACATTATGTGTATGTTGTGTGTACTTATATACCCGAATGTTCGTGCGCATATGGCGTGTGCATTTGATTCTCATATGCGTTATCATAAATATGCACGAAACATGTACTGTACGTGTGTGAAACATGTATATGGCCATATGCATACATGTAGAAACTGCATGATCAGCACGTATAACCATGCGTGTGTTTGTGTATGTAATCATGCATATGTAATACAGACACACGTATACTGTTTACATGTGTCGTTCATATGTAAAACATGTGTTATATGCA